TATAATCAGCACCAAGGTTTGAAACCTCTTCAGTCTACATCTATTAAACAATCCATCCTTGCTTTCATAAATTTTATGTAGAATGTAAGAAGTGGTTACTTACAAACAGTGACTACTTGTCTCCAAATGTATTGCCTTGATACACATCCTTATTTCTATATGCGTACAGAAGGAGAAACATAGTATCTCCTATGAACCCAGGACTGAGTAAGCCTCCAGGATTGTGCCTAGCCACACAAACTTTCCAATTTTAGCCTCTAATGTAAAGAGGCCCTGTGAACAACAGCTAAAGGCTAAGTGGTGAGAGAATTTAGAACTTTTGTCCCAGAACATGTAACAGACACATATATACTGGGCTTGGACTCCTGCTCAGAGACTGAAAGCAAGTAATAGCTCTTTGTAAAAGCACGAGGCAGAGACAATGAAGCTATTTATGATTCGAGATTACTAATTTTACTAATCCCACTTCAGAATGAAAGGCATGATATGACCTTCAGTTGTGGTCCCACTGATTATAACTAGGGCTGTCAAGTGTTTAAAAAAATTAATCATGATTAAAAAAATTAATCCTAATTAATCACACTGTTAAACAGTAATAGAATACCATTTATTTAAATATTTGTGGATGTTTTCAACAATTTCAAATATATTTATTTCAATTACAACACAGAATAAAAAGTGTACAGTGGTCACTTTATATTTATTTTTTATTACAAATATTTGTGCTGTAGAAAACAAAAGAAATTGTATTTTTCAATTTGCCTAATACAAGTACTGTAGTGCAATCTCTATATCATGAAAGTTGAATTTACAAATGTAGAATTATGTACAAAAAATAACTGCATTCAAAAATAAAACAATGTAAAACTTTAGAGCCTACAAGTCCACTCAGTCCTACTTCTTGTTCAGCCAGTCACTCAGACAAACAATTTTATTTACATTTGCAGGAGATAATGCTGCCCTCTTCTTGTTTACAATGTCACCTGAAAGTGAGAACAGACGTTCGTATGGCACTGTTGTAGCCGGCATTGCAAGATATTTACATGCCAGATGCGCTAAAGATTCATATGTCCCTTCATCTTCAACCACCATTCCAGAGGACATGCGTCCATGCTGATGACAGGTTCTGCTTGATAACGATCCAAAGCAGTGCAGACCGACATATGTTCACTTTCATCATCTGAGTCAGATGCCACCAGCAGAAGGTTGATTTTCTTTTTTGATGGTTCAAGTTCTGACGTTTCCACATCAGAGTGTTGCTCTTTTAAGACTTCTGAAAACATGCTTCACACCTCATCCCTCTCCTATTTTGGAAGGCACTTCAGATTTTTAAATCTTGGGTTGAGAGCTATAGCAACCTTTAGAAATCTCACATTGGTACCTTCTTTCCATTTTGTCAAATCTGCAGTGAAAGTGTTCTTAAAACGAACAACAGGTGCTGGGTCATCATCCGAGACTGCTATAATATGAAATACATGGCAGAATGCAGGTAAAACAGAGCAGGAGACATACTATTCTCCCCCAAGGAGTTCAATCAAAATTTAATACATTATTTTTTTAACGAGTGTCATCAGCATGGAAGCATGTCCTCTGGAATGGTAGCTGAAGCATGAAGGGGCGTATGAATGTTTAGCATATCTGGCATGTAAATACCTTGCAATGCCAGCTACAAAAGTGCCATGTGAACGCCTGTTCTCACTTTCAGGTAAGAAGCCAGCAGCATTATCTTGTTTGTCTTAGCAATTGGCTGAATAAGAAGTAGGACTGAGTGCACTTGTAGACTCTAAAGTTTTACATCAGTGGTGGGCAACGTGGATTGGCTGGGAACGGCGAACCATGGCCACTGGGAGCTGCAGGCAGCCATGCCTGCAGACAGTTACGGTAAACAAAGTGTCTTGCGACCCACCAGTGGATTACCCTGATGGGCCACGTGCGGGCCGCAGGTTGCCAATTGTTGTTTTACATTGTTTTGCTTTTGAGTACAGTTATGTAACAAAAAAAAAATCTACATTTGTAAGTTGCATTTTCACGACAAAAAGATATTGCATTATGGTACTTGTATAAGGTGAATTCAAAAATACTGTTTCTTTTGCTTATCATTTTTACAGTGCAAATATTTGTAATAAAAATAATAATATAAATTGAGCACTGTACACTTTGTATTGTGTTGTAATTTAAATCAATATTTGAAAATGTAGAAAAACTTCCAATAGTTAATAAATTTCAATTAGTATTCTATTTTTTAACAGTGTGATTAGAACTGCGATTAATCGCGATTAATTTTAGAGTTAATCATGTGACTTAATTGCAATTAATCGACAGCCCTAATTATAACAGTAAAGAAAGTAATTTGCTATCTCCTTATGATATTGGTGTATCAGAGGGCAATAGTGCCCAGAAAGTTGGTAGCCAGGGACAGCAACGAGGTAGATTTCCTAAAAATTTTAGTATACTTCAAAGTGTAATCTTCAAGACCTTTCTATATTATCTAAATGGAGATAGGAGCTTCTCATAACAACCTGCTGAAGAGACAGAAATTAAAAAACTGCTAGCCAGAACAAGTGGATGCCCCGTTGGGAGAAGATTCAACTGTATATCAAGTTTATCAGTCCTTACAGACTGCCACTTGCTCACTTTGGGTGTCCAAGTCACTATCAACAGGGTTAGTCTTCATGTGTGGACATGAAGTCACTGAAAATGTTAAGCAAACAAAGGCTTTTTTTTGTTTGTTTTAAAGATTACATTGAGACTGGCTCAGGTAATATTAGGGCATGTCTTCACTAGCAACATTAAAGCACTGCCACGGCACCACTTTAACATGGCTGGTGTAGTCGCGACATAGCGCTGGGAGAGCTCTAAATAAACTCTCCCAGCGCTCTAAATAAACCACCTCCACGAGGGGAATAGTTACCAGATACATGGGAGCGCGGTTCCCAGTGGTGGTGCACTGGCACTTTACAGCACTGTTTTTTCACACCCCTGAGTGAGAAAGTTGCAGCACTGTAAAGTGCCAGTGTAGACAAGCCCTTTGTCAAGCAAAAGTGGGAGGAGGGTGTTGGGGATGAGAAGAATATTGTAAAAAGTACTCTTCCTCCTCTTTGCAGTCCTGGCACAGGGCCTCTGCTCCGCGGATCCAGGACTGCAGCCTTCCCCACACCTTGCACCTTGGTGTCTCGGGCCCCTTGACTGTGCAAGAAGCTGTCTCCAGCCCTCTTCTCAGTGCTGCCTTAGCCCTAATCCCAACCTTATCCCCCCTTAATTTCCAGGAACTGTAAAAATAAAAATAGTTTAAAAAATGAAAAAAAATTGTTAAACAATGTGAAACATCTTACAAATGAAAGTTGATATTAATTATCAAAATTAGGGGGGAAAAAAATCTGCCAAGCCTAGATATAGTTAAAGGAATACATGGCCTCGAGTATACCATACCATAAAGCCTTTCCCCTTATGGCTGAAATATCCATAAGCAGACTTCCTCCAAGATGCAAGCAGAAACAAGGCAGAAATACTGAAATTTTGCCTCTAGAGCTTACACTCCTCAGTAACCAGGTGTTCAGAAGGAAGTGCCACAGGACAGATTGGCCCTAACTGCGAGAGAGCTCCTTTGTGGTTACATCATTAATCTGATGAGTGTTCACTATTATGTGCAGCCTGAAGAAGAATATTCCTAGAGTCAAAAGGGGTCTAAGAGACTGTCACACTCTTGCCTCTCCTCACTTTGGAAAAGCTTCTTGCTATTAATGGAACTGATGGATAAGTATGCAGGAGTTTCTTTCCCATGAAAGGAGCATGTATGCCCAGGCAGCACAAACTTCTAGCTTCAAGAGAAGCAAACTGACAGTGCTTCCTCCAGCTGAGTGGAAAAAATCTGATCTACTATGTCCTGATTTGAGGACTTTCTTTAGAGCTATTAAGGTCTTGCTTACATGGTGCCTGTGTTAACACAAACTGGATACCATTTAGTTTGTGCCAGCGCATCCACACAGGGCAGTTAGCGTCCAGCCCTTTGGTGCACCCTGCAATTCACGCCCCCGTAGTCCACACTGTGTTGCAGTGTAGACATAGGCCAAGATTTTTTGGCACTGCATCCTTCTTTCTAACCAGATAGCAACTAACACAATTCCTGTGAGAAAAAGCCCAGCCCTACATGTACAGGCTTTCAGACACAGTTGTAACTAGGCTCTATGTAATGCAGTTATGTGAAAATAAACACTGCAACTTTAATAAAAATCTCGCAAATGCAGTAACTCAGAGCAGTTGGAAACACAGCCCTGTCCTATGATCCCCTCTGTGTTATTAAATAATACAACGCTGGAAATTAGAATCTGCACTCTCTCAGGCCTGTCTTGACAGGCAAAAAGTGTGTCTTTTTCAATTGTATTAGCTGAAAAAGACTGAAAAGCCCCATTAAGATGCCTGGTAACACATATGATATATATGTTGTAGCTCCCCCTGGACTACAACATAGCCAGCTAACAAACATAACAAGCAAACGTGCCTTCAGATGTGCTAGCTTGCCTCTTACCAGACTGTCCAACCTGGCCTCTACTGTGAGAGTAGGTTGTAGAAATGGCTGTGATTCTTACCAGGTTATGGAAGTTGAACCCCTTAATCTCCCAGAATATTTTGCCCAATTTACCTCAATCCACTGAGTCAAGAGCTGTTCCGGGTACTGTGGGAAAGGCAATCAGAGACAGTGCAATTGCAAGGATTGATTAGAGTGCTCTTTGTGGAAGTGGAGAAAAACCACTCCTGAAACATGATGCTTGGGAAATTTTCACAGATTCCATTTGTAATAGGATTCGTTATCTGGTGAAGGAAAAGCTCTTGTGACAATGTGCCCTGAAGTGACAATACCACCCCTAAAAATACTGGTGATACAAAACCAGAACTCAGTGCTCCATAGGAAATGGCTAGTAGATTCTTATTTTATTTCCCAGTCCGTCAAGCTATCCTCAATGCTCTGTAACCTAGTCCATTCACTGTAGACTTTTACTTACCATCTGTTACAAATGTTTCTGTCTGCTGTTCATTCAGCTCCCCTGGCTGGAGGTTTAGCTCCACTTGCTCTTCTGCTATACCATTAATGTTGGATATCTGTCCATTCTTCTGTAAAAGCTGTATTGACAAGGGTGGGGTGGAAGGGAAAAAAAAGAGAGGGATAAGGATAAAATGAATTATAATTTTCAAGCTCAAAGTATCATTCCTTCTCTTCTTTCACATAATAAAAAAAATTCACCACTTCTCCTAGAAATAGTTTCACATTCAAATTCATTTTTATATACATATGGATTTGGGGAAATAGAAGTACTAGACACTTACATAGCGCTGTTCTTTTTTAAAGATATTAATATTAACTTTAATAAATCATTCAATCACCAAAGCACCTCTGTGAGAGAAGTAGGTATCTGGGATCATATATTTTGTTAGTCTGCTGCATAGGATTTACTGAAGAACCCACAATCTTGCCACAGAATTGTGCAGCAGAATCTAACCTTGTATTTAAGAAATAATTTAAGATTCTAGTACTTATGATTGAGAAGAAAAACTCCTGAATGTGAACTGAATCTGACTGATGCAGTGGTATCTTCCTGGGTCTACAAACAGCCTGAAACAGTAGCTCAGAGATTGATTTTCAGCATTCAGTTCGGGGAATGTAGGGGGTTAGCTCTGGAGATCAATGATCATTTAAAATGTCAACAACGTTGTTGCCATGTCAGCTGTTGGGGAAGCGACTTTTGGGAGGTGATCTAGGAGTTCAAGCCCTTTCTTCAAGATTGTCACATATGACTCCCCCCCTCCAAAAAAAAACCTTAAGCCCCAACCAATCCCTATGTATCCAAAATGAAAACCACTCTCACACCTTCCAAGATTATAAAAGCTCCAACTGATCCTTGCCAACATGCCAAAACCAGCTGTTTCTCCTTCTCCCAGACAACATCAAAAAAGCTGTGAGTCTGTCATGGAGGTTACAGATTCCATGACTTTCCAGGTCTTCTGCAGCGGCTGGTGCAGCTCACCGGGGGGCCGCCTGAGCAGCTCGGGCACCCCCACCCCCAGCCAGCCTCACCGACCACTGCTGGGGCAATCTCGTTCCATTGCCCCCCTAGCATCCACAGGAATTTGGATGTGGGAGGGGGCTCAGGGCTGGGGCATGGGAGGGGGTGAGGGCTCTGGACAGCGCTTACCTCAGGGGGATTTCCCCAGAAGTGGTGACATGTCCCTCCCTTAGCTCCTAGCTCTGCGCACTGCCTCCACCCACAGGCACCGCCCCCGCACGCTCCCATTGGCTGCAGTTCCTAGCCAATGAGATCTGCAGAGCTGGCACTTGGGGCAGCACATGGACCCCCCTGGCAACGCTTCCACCTACGAGCCGAGGGATGTGTCACTGCTTCCGTGGAGGCGCAGAGCCGGGTAGGGAACCTGCCAGCACCACCAACCCCTACTCAGCAGCAGCAGCAGCAGGGGTCCCGGGTTATGCGCTGCTGCCCGCCCTTCCCCCCGCCCCAGCAGCAGGCCTGTCCCCACCCCACGCCCCCAGAGCATCCATGGCACCCCCAGCCTCCTACCCCAGAATACCTGCAGCGCCCCTGGGCCTCACCCTACCCCAGAGCACCCAAGTTTTAGTTAGGGGTATATAGTATAAGTCATGGACAGGTCACGGGCCATGAATTTTTGTTTACTGCCCATGACCTGTCCATGGCTTTTACTAAAATACCCGTGACTAAAATGTAGCCTTAAACATCAACAATGGAGATTTGACTTGTCAATTCAAATACATGAGATATATTGACCATGGAAATTTTGGGGCAGAGTAAAATAAACTAAAATAACATACAATATATTTGTATTATTCAGTTTCATATTTAAATCAGTCAGCTAAACCTTCCATCTTTTAAATTTAGCACTGAAGTACCAGAGAAACGAAGGTGCTTTACTACAGAGTTTAGACCCAGCTTGTTGCACAATGCCCATTCATCATCCCCATTTTGCAGTTGAGTAAACGAGGAAAACTAACCCAAGGCAAGATGTCAATGGAGTCTACACTGCAGTTTTTGGGAAACCTCAACCACAACACTGCAACTGGGGCAGGCAGCTCCACTGGTGGCAGAGTGTTCATTCCACCAGCTCATCTGACCACACTCAGAGCAAGTCTAGATGACACAGTGGTAGCAAGAATACCCATGTCTACATAACAACTTTCACTGTTGCTACATGTTTAAGGTACTTAACATTACTACTGTAACCATTCCAACTGAAATCAGTGAGACAACTCGTAGTCAAATTAGGCATGGGCTTAAGTGTTTGCAAGATTGGGGCCCAATTTCCTACTGTAGGGAAGTCCCACGAGGGACTTAGTGTCAGATCCAGGATTAGAACAGGAGAGCTCGGTTCCCAGTCATGTATATAGACTATACCTCTCTGAAAAAAATATTTATATTGCTTCAAGGAATTTATTTATTTAGCGTGTGCATAGTCGTCTAGCCAAGCGATGGCATGTTCAGTGGTGTGATGCAGTTCTTCTAGGCCACTGCTGAACCTAGTCAGCAGGCATTCATCGACAATGTGCGTCATCGGCTGTGTCGCACCACAGCTACACAAAGGGCTGTCACAAAGGCCCCAGCAATACTGGTTGGCTGCACAGAGACCTTGCCTGGTCCCGAACCTGTTCAACAGGGACCACTGGTACCAGGGCAGGTCAAAACCAGGCGAGCAACGAGGAACTGGTTGGGGATTATAACAGATATCCCATTCCTCTCCCCAAAGTGTTTCCACCCTAACATCCTGGCGTGGAGGATGAGACCATAATGGGTGATGTGACGGCAAACATGCAGCTGGTAGTTTTAAAAGGTTATTGTGCAGCGGCAGGCTTCAGTTGGTGCATACTTTCTCCAGTATTTGCCAGGGGCAACCTCTCGTCTGATATGAGGAGGAGCAATATTGCTCAGAACTGTGGAGTGGAGTCGGACGCAGGGTGCCAGAGATGATACGCAGGATACACATAGCGGCATGTAACTGCGTATCCACCAGTTCAAGGACTAGAATACTGTAAATGACCAAAGCTGTGTATTCTTTCTAACTAGGTTTACAGCTTGATTTTTAATTAAGCATAAGGCAATTAACATGTTACCTTTGTCTAGGAACAAATTACAAGTGAATGAATAAAAGGTCACTCAGTCATATTTCTGCATGAAATGTTTTCCCCAATATTGCTCATTACAAATAACACCTAAAATTACTATAATGGCACAATTAAAGAAAAAAAATCTCCGTATTTCAGCTTCTTTAATTTGTACAGTATTTTGTATATAGGCAATTTAACCTGTTTTTGTGGGTCTTCCACAGTAAGAGGGATTTAAAGAAAAAATATGAAATAAATGTATTAAAAAGCACAAAAATTGGCAGAGAGATTTAGGATAGTACCTGAAACTTTTAACTACTTTTTTTGAAATTAACTAAATATCCAGTTGATTGTGTCTCTTGAAGAGCTCTGTGTAAGCTCAAAGAGAGCACCTCTGCCTGGCAAGGATTGTGTTTTGGTAGCTCCCACAATGGGAGATGGTACAAAGAACAGGATGGGCCAGGTCCTGTGGGATTTCTAGCCTCCATGGGACTTCTGGGGTAGGCTTGAGATCTTGCAGGATTCAGCACAGGATTTGGAGCCAAAAGATCTCATGGGATTTGGCACAAGATTTGGAGCCATGATCAGAGCTAGGTACTCAGAAACATGTCCTGTTTGCTTGTTTCCCCACCCTCCCTGCTGTGCCCATCCAGATGAGGACTCAGTGGGACAATCTCCCTGGGCTCTGCCTCCTGATGCTGCATGTGGGCAAGCAGGCATGCAAGCTGGTGGGACTGTGCTTGAATCACTTTATCCCAGAGTGGTTCACTTTTGTGGTACCCCGTGCGAAGCTGCTGTGGGCCAACTCTGGCGGCAAGGTAAAGGATGCCTCCCCTCTCCTGTGTGCTCCCAGGTCTCGGGGAGGCTGTGGGGTTAGGAATTCCTTGGGAGGGCAGGGCTAAGTCCCATGACCTGGGCAGATCCCAGGCGGAGATTTCTGGCTGCCTCAGGCTATGGGCCATGCCCATGAGGGTTTGCAGGACTTGAGTTGGTGGCAGCTGCTGTTGGATGTGTGAGTGAGCCCAGTCTGCCCCTTACCTGTGGGGTGGATTTTACCTGGTAACTCTGTCTTTCTGTGCTAATTTAGTTGGTTCTTACCATGGGCCCATTATTGCTCCAGCAGGGCAGAGTGGTTGCTGGGCTGATCGTCCTGATCTGGGGGCTCCCTGGCTTGGTTTTTGCTCCTGGTACAGATCCCCTTTCTATTTGTGCATTTGTCTGTGCTTGTGGTCTCTCCCTAATCTCCTGTGAGACACTAGGAATGCTTGTAGCCTATACATAAGTACAACATAGAAACTTTGGATGTGAAAATGGAAACCTTCCATCATGGGCCATAGGTAGTATGTCTCGTGTTAATATTGCTGGTGATGAGATGTGGGCAACAAGATTGTTTTAATCAGACACTTATTCGGAAGTGTCCATTTCCACTCCAAATATAGACTCTCAGTCCTTTCCTACAGCAGTTTAATGGATTAAAGCACTGCTTCAGACTGATGCACTTTAGTTATGGGATTTGCACATTTACATAATTACACTAGGGCAAACTTCCTTATTGTGGTTAGGACCTTAGACTGTGGAGACTGTATCATGTGTCTCACTCCAAAGATGGGACATTTCCACTCCTGAACATACTCATTATCTCTGTTCCTCCCCCCTTAAGTGCAAGAATCTTTGTCCAGGAGAATGCAGCCTTTTAAATTCTAATGTACAAGCTGAAGGAGAACAATCATTTGCAATTGGAAGGCAAATGACTACTCCCTCACCTTGCTGAGCCCCACCCTGCCAATGGAAACCAAGACAATAGAGGTATGAATAGATTATCTAGTGAATGATGTTAGAAAAGCCCTGTGATAATCATCCAATGAGCAAACACTGGCGGGAAGGAGCTTGTATGTGAGACTCTGCAGAACTGATCTGATTGTGAGCTTAGCTTAAGCAGGTAGTGTCTCAGCAGAGACATCCCCCTCCAATGAACCCTTGCTTATAGAGCCAAAGT